AGGTGGCTAGGCAGGGTAAGGATAAATCAAATTTGTGCATTTCAAGTGCTCATCGATGGAATAAAAGGACAGTGACATTGCTCCAGTAGACAGGCATAGGGTATTTAACTATGTCATCAAGTGGCTGTGCAGATGGCAGCACAAGGAAAGCAAGCAAGATTATCCCGACTATCAGATACTCTAAAACCAACTACGAGCTGACGTCACGAGCAATCGAACATCCTTTCCTTTCCTTTCCATATATATCCTTTCTACTATGGCAATGCATTCATGAATATCTTTCAGAAAGCTCGGCAGACTGTTAATATGTACGCAGTGTAATTATACCCTATTAATACATTATGAAGGGTATATAACCGCTTCAGAGACACTTACTACTCTTACACGAAATCCCTGCAGTAACAACTGAAAATTGCCCTTAAAAGTATGCTATGAATTAGACAGTCCGCATTTAATTAGATGCGCGCAGTGCCTGGCGGTGGAGTGGGGTTAGCTGCATTATTTGATTTAAGGGCAGTTCTATTACCAATAATTGAAACTTAAGCATGCCATTAGTTTCGGTTTAGTTTCGCTGCGAGTCCATAAAACTCACACAGTTGGCGGCCAGCAGCAGGGGTCGGATATGAAGGCGAAGTCAAAGAATCGACATTAGCATTTATTTTTATCATTTATATGCATGGCAGGCGGCGCATGAAAGCCAGTTTAATGTGATGTGAGTGTACACTTCATATAAAAACACACAACCTACACACACACACACACACACACGAGCGCGTGAAAAAAAGTTGAAGCTGTGCAACGATTTACCGATACGCTTGCCGCACAGCTTAGAGCTGACGAAATATCGATACAATAAACACTATATGCCTCATTATAGATGTGATTTCATAGACTATCGATAGTTTCGAGCTTTTATGCTAACTTGGCCTCTGCTTATCTCCGCTTAATCGAACTATCAAAGTCCAATGACAAATCTGATAATTCATATTCAAATGCTTAACGAAAAGCTTCTTTCCTTAAAGACGATTGTTTATATTTCATCAGAGAAACTATCAACAATAGCTGAAATATACACATTAAGCAAATTCTGTCATTATGGTGGAACAATTTGGAAATCTGCCTAGCTTCTACTTCAGAATGTGAAATGTTTAACCCATCAACGATGGGGTCTTTTCTATGGGAAAAACTGTCCTAATAATGAGTAATATTAGCCACTGAAAAGTAAACAAAATCTATATTCTCGACAGCTCCACCGATATTTTGCCATCTCTAATGCCTGGGCACAGATATCTCATGAAACTGATACATCTCTGTCCGGCCAGTGTTACAAGCCCAATGGCTTAGGCAATATACTCTCTGTTGGCGGCTATTGAAATCATTTGGTAAAGCTTTAAAGCATTACGAATTGCAGTCCAGGGCAACTGGCTTTGCCTTACGACCATTGCGACCGTGGAGTGTGGAGTGTATCCGTGTCCGTGTCGGCGTCCATTTCCGCGTATACGTATTCCAGCTGACGTGACGTAATAGATTTTACGCGAGCATAAACATTCATAAAACATTCTGGCGCGTACTCACATAATATCGTAATCTCACATGTTCTTTCATTAAATAATTCATTTCATTTGATTTCGGTTTCGGTTTCGGTGGCAGCTTCACACACTACACATACATTGATTAGATATGTAAGACACATAAACGCACTATATACATATGTACACATACTTATATATGTCTATATATGTGTACGTATGCTGCATATATCTGTCGAGGGCTGCGGGGCTGTTGTCCATCCCAATGGCTTTTATGCGCTTCTTTATTTGCATCGCATTAAATGAATATATTTGCACAGCATTTGGAGTGATCTAATAAAGCCACCCCCTTAATCTTGGTCCAGCCATGCCCCCAAGCATGTTTTTAAGCAAGTACGGATTATGTGTAGTGTATTTGAGAACTGCTTCAATAGCTCTAAAGCCGACTAAATATTTTCAATAATCGGGTTTATGAAGTTGGACAGGAAAAAGCGATGTAATTAAATGGAATTAATAACATACAAATGTAAATTCATGCAATAAATTTGTAATAATTTTTCATATAAACTGTTTTTTTATATACACTGCAAGCCACAAGCTAATTAAAAGTTAAAAATTTCCCATTTTCTGCCGACTACACAATACTCTGTACCTAGCTATGCTTTTTGTCAATTAATCATGTGTATATATATACCTAGTTGGGAGTATCCTCATTTAAAATAAAGAATAACTCGAATAAATATGGCTTAGAAGCGCTTTAATACATATTTTTTATTTCCGACTCTTTATTCCTATAGGAGCTACTTAATATAATTGTCAGATTTGATATGTATATGCAGATATCTTAAACTTATAGCAAAGCTTGTAAATAAGCTCTAAGTAAGTAGAGGGGCATATTAAGTTAAGATATCTTGAAAAATAAACAAGTTTTGGCAGCTATATGATATTGTGGTCTTATCATAATTTCATCTAGAGAGATATTCAAAAATAGAGAAAACGGAGCAAATTTTGTCTTTTTGTGGTATGTGACTCAAGCAATTTACACCAAATTCAATCTAACCACATCTACCCACACCCACACACATGCTCACACACCCATCCACACACACATGCCACACCACACTCTAGACCTCACCCTCGTTTTTCTTATCATGCCCATTTCCTTGCGTGTGCGAGCAGACTTCCAGATGTCTGCAATGTTAATTTCGCGTTATTCTTTTCAATTTACACAAACATCTGCACTCCCACAATCCGACCCCCCCTCTATAAGGCTTATATGCAGATTATGCCAAAATGTTGACGCGCAGTCTGTAAATGAGGCAGTTCTCCATTTCTTAGAGTCCTCGACCCGCAGATCTTGGCTCTTCCATTCTATTCAGAACATGCCCGAAATTCATAGAAAACCCAACTTTGAAGAGCGGCGCATTTTAATTTTGCCCATGTGCTGCAGCGGGTCGAGATGGCGAACGTGGAGGCTACGTGGCGGGGCATGCCACGGAACTGAACGAGTTTTTGGGTTGATGTTGCACTTTCGAGATGGCAGACGACGGCGGGGTTAAGTGTAAAAATAATGGCTTGCCAGTGAAGAAAAATGGTAAGCGAAAAGTTTTTTAACTACGTGCCAGGCGTCCGGGGGCAGCACGGTCGCAAGGGCGCTGCGGGGGCTGCGGGCCACTTCGGGGGCAGGCTTGAGAAATGCTTTTGGCCCAGTTTGTCGCACGTTTGTTTCAAAACCAGCTTTCATCTTTGCTCGCCGGAATGCTGCCTAATTCGATAATAGTTTTGGGCAGCCTGCTAAACGTTAAGCCCACACAAACACACACACACACAGACGCACACACACGCACACACTGAAACACCTAACAGCCACACCCACCGGAAAATAGCCAGTGATTTGAAGGTGGCATGTGGCATGGAAAACTTAAGGCATGCTGACAATTTTCTTGCCCTGTTTTATGTTGCGGAATTTTTGATTATGCAACAATAAATCTTTGGTCCATTTGCCAAAAACTCTTGCCATCGCTTGCTGCTTGCCAAGGGGTCAAATCATAAAAGCACGTCGAGTGTAGAGGTAAATGTGGTAGTGGGGGGGGGGGGGGGGGGGGGGGGGTACTTTGTGTACTACTGGTATTTGGAACGGCACACGTGAAATTAGCATGTGAAAATATTTGTCAAAGATTTGCGCAAAATTATGCGCAGTGTTTGCGCAAAAATACACGAGCCAAAACTTTTCAGAATTTTAATTTAAATTTTCACCGACTTTGCGTGCACACACATGTGTGTGTGTGTGCGGCCAGAAAAGTTTGCTGACTGAAAATATTTGGGCAAAAAAAAATGATGTGATGCACACAGACTAAAGCGAAAAGCGCTTCAAAATTTTGCAAATTTCCAAACTTGTTTGCCAAGTTTCCGCAAAGAGCGAGAGAGAATGGAAGAGAAAGAGAGAGCGAAAGAGAGAGGGAGAGATAATATTTTTTTTTGGTTTTTAGTGTTTTACTCTTGTTTTGATAAGCTATTTACATAAGCTGATGTGCGAGCAGAAGCATGTTATATGAGCCAAGTTAGCTCCCCCAGAACTTTTGAAGTCACAGTAAGCTGGGTCAGTCCCCGGGATTGTTGAATGTGCTGAAATAGTTGGGACGCTCGCCAAGTCAGCAGCATAAAATGTGCGACGGATTAACGCACAACAAATGCCCGGATTCAGTCCAGTCGAAAAGCGGTTGAGTGTGGACCATGGTCTGGGTAGGTGTGGGAGTTTGCCCGTGGAGGTGGCCCGACTAGCAGTTGTGATCGCGTGGCCGGAGATATGGCTGGGGACGGGGGCTCTTTGGGCGCTTTGTATTCATCGCTCAATGGACGCTTTTAATGGCATTGGAAATGGGCCAGCACGGCCCGATGATGACCACGCGACGCAACGACGTCAACATTGTTGTCGCTGATGGTAATGGCATTGGTGGTGGAGCTTCTGCTGCTGCTGCTGCCGCTGCTGCTTTCGTGGTGGTGCTCGTGGTGTCCAATTACGTCGCATAAACAATGCGTTTTTTATGGCGCTAGCGATTATGGCCCAACAACAACAACAACAACAACAACAACAGCAACAATAACAGCAGATAAGCCACGACGCATAAGCCACGGTGGCGTATACATGATTTTTGATGCCTCCTGCAAACAAGCTCGCCCTGAAGACTAAGTACATAACAGCATGTGCTTACAAATACAATATATGTATGTCCACATACATAAAGTCTATATACGCATGTGTGTGTCTCTCAGTATATATGTATAAGCACAAAACAAACAGAACTTGAAAGCATTGAACATTTAAGGAATGGTATTTGAATTGGAATCACGGAGGCACGACTCGGTTTTAGTTTAAAATTATATAGACACAAAGGAGATAAGCTGTGCCCATGCCTGAATTGCCTCAACATATATTCCTATATATAAAAATATATGTGAATATGCACTTACCCAAAAATTCACATAAACCCGAGGGATTGTTTCATTGCCAACTATTGGTAGGCGGGCGGCAGGCTTTTATATCCACGCATCACTAGAAGAACAAAACAAATTGGGAGCTGGTTAGAGTAAGAAAAGGAGTAAGCAAATATAATATAATGTGACAGAGAGAAAGAGAGAGGGAGAGAGAGAGAGAGAGCACAAGAGTAAGTTATAGTAAGATTATTAGCAGAGATAACGTTTGATTATTTATTTAATGAAAGCATGAATCGCAGTTAACCCTACTCGCATTTTTGAGAATCTCATAGTAAGGCATTGCTTTTAGTAATTTATTTTTATTTAAATTTGCTTATCAAAAATTACAAATGTTTAACATAAATTTTCGCACCAGAGGATAAACAAATATTTAATCTACTCGCGGGTCCCTTATGATTAATCTATATACAAATTTTGACACGGCGTCAAAAATTCATAAATGATACAAAGAACTTTTGAATCAGTTCAAGCCTTTTGAAAACTTTCAGACTAAAGTATTTCTTCACACCCTATGAAATACTTATCACTCGAGTTAGTTAGAACTTGTTGAGCCTGGAATTTCCCATATTGGTTAACACTGACTGATGTGTGTTTTATTTAATCGGGAACTATGTGAAATTGCCTACATATTTTTATACATTTTTTTTCAGGTGGAATCTGGTTCGAGCTTATTTAAACTCTCATGAAAATCGATTGATTATATAACACTGATTTTGTTTAAAGTTGGTAGTTTAGACTTTCAAAAATACTTTATTCGGGCTCTGGCTTACCCGAATGCCGATAGGTTTTTGCTGCAATCTATTGCACCCTGATTCTTGTATGCCTTTCGATATGAGAGAAGCATATTAAGTTTGCTATGGTTAAACAAAATATGTTGCCAACATCTTTATGCATGAGAGAGTGGGCATGTGTGTGTGTTGGAGCCCCCTTTTTTTCGCCGGCTCAATCCCAATATCCGCAAGCAAATTTTATGCTCAAGTCGTTTGGCTTAAATCGATGACGGCGACACAATTATACGTTGTGTGATATTTCGCATTGGCCGCCGGTCAAACAGGCACACACACAAACACAAACACACACACACACAAATACACACACACACTAGCGCACACATCTTTACTATATTTGTTGCTTTGGCTTAGCCTTTTTTTTGCCAACGTCTTGTTACATTTCCGTAACTTTTGCTATGGCTGCAGTTTGCTCGGCTACTCCTCCCCCTATCGCACAGCCTCCCCTCTCGTCGTCCTGAGGCTCCATTGTTCCGTTTAGCATCTTTGGCATAGAATTTGATGTTTGGTCCATTCTCATTTCGCATTTGCGTTTGCGTTTGCCAATTGACAGTGAAAACTAACGATACGGAAAAGTAAACGCACTGTGAGTAATATTAGTTTGTAATTTGATTTTATGATAGTTGTTGTTGTTGTTGTTGCTTCTGCTGCTATTGTTGCTATTTGTCCTGTCCAGCGTGGTGTTGGTAATTGTCAGGCGCGATGGCACCGAAGACACACGACCTGAGCACAAATTCGTATATACTTATTTATGCATTGTTTAGATAGGTGTGCACACACACATGTGGTTTCTGTTTTTGTGTTTGTTATTGTCAGCCGGAGTCGGCCTCGCTGACAGTCTCCACCAATTGTTAATGCACTGACAATTGTTTATATGGGCCGGTTCAAGTGAGCCACTTAAAATCATTGAATGTGCGCCCAACTTTGTTGTTTATGCGCTGTGCATAACGCGTGTTTTTAGCTCTATTTCCTAGCCGCACTCGAAAGCAAAAGTAATTGTCAGCCAGCTGTTAAGGATTTCATAGGTGAAAGAGCTCTGCTGAAATTTCGATTTCTGAAATGGTTTTATTTAAATGAGAATAAGCAATAGTTGGGTTGTTCGCAGTTCCCAGCAATGGTATACTTTGACTTAGATTCTCCGCGTGTTCTGGGGCTAACGAGTAGGGTATATGCCTTTTCTGGCACTTTACGTTAACTTTTACCAATCAATAAGTATTTGTCGTAAACAAAACGCGCAATAAATAACAAAATGCTTAGTGTTGGAAATCGCAAAAGAAGTCTATTTGCCAACACTATCATTGCAAGTCTACAGATAACAGCGAGACTTCCAGAGAAGTTGAGAAGAGCGTGAAGATTTATGCCAGTTCAACGACTTCTATCGCCTTCAGCAAAGACAATGATAGTGCCTGTGGATTCGAGCCGGGAAGCTCCCCATTCAGTTGCCTAAATGGCTGGGTAGCTTAGACAGCTCATCTAGCAGAGAACTGCTGCCCATTAAATATGTTTTCTATTTACAGACATTTTGCAACATTGATTATCTTTAATGTGGCTCGGATTTCGGTGTTTTGGCCAACTACGAACTGCCAACTGCTAACCGGCGACTTTCCCTTTCGCTCCTTTTGGATGGTATCGCTGGTATCGCTCTCCCACTCCACTGACTTACTGATATGCAAATGATATTGTATTGTGTATGGCTATATAAAACTGATATCTGGCGCACTAATCTTAGATACAAACAATATATTCAAAAAGCGACCTAGATCCTTGCTCAACGTCGAATAACAACAACAACAACAACAACAACAACAATAACAATGAGGACTACAACTGCGATAATAATAACAATAGTAAAAGTGAATGCCAGCTCGAAGCAGAGCGGAAGGAACGTAGTGAGCGATGGCTTGTAATGTGCCAGGACGTTGGCTGGCTGGGGTAAACGGAGGGGCAACAGCGAGGGGACAGTTAAAGGGGGAACGTGACTGGCTCTGCTTGTGGCATAGATGATGAGGCACTCGCGAGCAGGCCGCACAAATGAGAAAGAAAGACGATACAGAGTACATGAGTGAGACTGAGATGGAGCGAAAGAGAAAGAGAAAAAGTCAAGCAATGGAAAGAATGGAACGCGCTCATCGTGTATGTGTGTGTGTTTGCGCGGGTGTGTGTGTGAGTGTGCAACATTTGGAATTTTTTAAAATTACACTTCAAATGGGCAGAATGCTAGTTCTTGCTCCTACTGTTGCCCTGCTGTGCCACAACAAAACAATAGTAAATAACAAACAACATTTGAATGGCAAATATGAGAGCAAATAACTAGGCAAATGTCAGTGCGAAGTGCAGAGCCCAAATCCAAAATGAAATGACAATGCAACTCTGTATTTAACGCACATACTTATATATACGAATAATTATGTTTGCCTAAGTCCTATATTTATCTGGATTTCCAACATTTAAGCACGACTGCATATTTGATATTTCGGGATGATTATTATTTTCGGCTATACAATTGTTTCCGCACGTTTCCGCATGTAAAGAGTTTCCTATCACATTATGATCATATCAAGATAATATTGAGATTTTCTTTTCACATTAAGATCAAGATAGTTTTGGTATTGGGTATGATAAGGCCTGAAATGTAAAATATATATATATCCATAACGATATATCTGCAGATCTTCGTGTCGTATTTGTCGTGTTGCTCACGCGCCCATCACTAGCTCCATTGCCTTGCCCAGCCAGCTGACAGCTTTGGTGCCAACCAACTGACTGAGGTGGTCATTCGATTTTGGTTCAAGGGCGTTAGCTGCAAGCTAAAACCAGAGCAGACAGCGCCTTTCCCTCTGCCCTGTTGACGCCGCAGTGGCAAACGTGACACCCGCGGCATGCAGCACTGGAGTTGCCACGTTTCGTTTGAGGGCAAATCAAGTGAAGCCCCATTCGGGCCAACAGGAAGCCGCGCTAGCTAATCAAATTTCAGCGATTTGAAAAAAATAAATAAATAAAGTAAATAAAATAGAACATATTTTGCACCAGAAAAAATTACAAGAAAATGTGTCAAGTCGTATGACAAATTGCTTCATATAAGTATGAGAATTTATTTATTTCTAGTTTTTAAACTTTTTTTCTCTTTTGCACAACAAATATGATTTTATGGCAAATATATAAAATAATGATTTAGGCAAGGCTGCAACTTCAACAAACATTTACGGCGGCTCACGGTTCGAACCAATGCCTCGTCCTAAGTTTCGTTTTATGTTGTTATACCCTATATAAGACCCTGGGAATTGTTTTGAGCCTTAGCAGTTATTTTTACTTCAAAAATTCAAATTTTTATTTATTCTTTTATATTTATCATACTGAAACTATTGTTTAATTAATTGTTGTCGACCCAACTAATTTGGGTTAAGGATCTGTTCGCGATTAATAAAAAAAAAGTGGTTTGGTTGAGAACCGATTTGCAGCAAAATAGCAAAATAACAAACATAACTTTATTGCAGGACGAAAAATTACAGTGTACTCCATTGAAAAAAGTGCCAGCTTTGGTGCCGCTGTGCCACATGTGTCAGCCGTGGTTGTTAATGCAACGAACAGTGGCAACAACAAGTGCATTATTGATTAGGTTTAACGGGTTCTGAAGTTGTCGTTCTTTTTTTCGTGTTTCATTTATTTTTTATTTTTTTTTGCCTGACTGCAGCAACTGCGGAAACTTGCAGTGGAAAACTGTCAACGTGGCAGCGCAGACAAAAACTGCTGACAAGGTCGTTGATTTTGAGGGTAAAGCAATATCTCCATTGGCTGACCCACTCCCAGCGACCAGCACCCGGCTGCAGCTAGCACCACCCACCTTGCCTATTCTTGTTTGGCACTAATTGTGTATTTGCTGCAGCAACAACAACAGCTCCAGCAAGAACAACAACAATTTACGACGTCGCTTCGTTTCGTTTAGTTTATTTTATTGCGGCTTATTTGAGTTTGCAACGAGTCGAGCCGAGCCCACATTGCTCATTTATATTGAGACTGTACATATTTCCGCTATGTAAACCGAGTCCAGGCCAAGTTGTTGTCCTACCCGCACACCACCACCATTCCCGGTAGTCATCATGCGGCGTCGCGCCGCAATTTGTGTGCCTGCAGTGACCCAGTAACATGGAAAGCAGCCGCATCGACAACAGCCGCCAACTGACACCACAGCCAGTAGGGCCATACTCATAGTCATACTCATACTCATCCTCAACCACATCCTCATTCACATCACCATGCCTCTGTCAATCCT